ATTGGATCGGGGTAGACGCGTAGACAATAAAAATACAGCGCATAGTTGAAATACTAATTAAAAAATTTTCACGAGAAAGAGATATTAAAGAGAAACTAACATAACGCAAGCAATATATACAAGTAATGATTTAATATTAACACATGATAAATAAAACTAATGAGTAATGGGACGTGGACCGGATGGATATATTAGTGCTTCCAATATATGGTAAATATGAACACAGGAAAACGTGCAATTTAAAAATTTATATTAATTTTTTCAACTGTAAAAATAAAACCAAAGGAATTCAAAGCATATGTCAGATTCTGTTCTTACACAAGGAAAACAAGGGTCAAATTCAAACCTAACCTTTCATTTGATAATTAATATCGTTCAAAAAATTATAAAATTAAAATTTCTTAAATCATATTAGTATATGCACGACAAAATAATTTTTATTATCAAGTTTGATATGATCATATTATATTTTTGATCGTTAATGATTATAAACGTATTAGATATATTGACAAAACATGATCCAAAAGAAACCACAATCTCAACAGGCTTCAACAAAATAGTCCCATAATTATATTATATATATATATATACTAATTATGAATCAATTATATTTATAGTTTTTAATCACAGGCATGCCAATTAATGCATTACACTCAATTTGTCTGCTACAAATAATCTATTGTTTAGGTTGTCTCTCATTTAACATATTAATAGCACTTAGTATAATTAAGGCAAAGCTACACTTTCAGTATTCTAAATTTTAATTTGATCTCTTAATTTTATAAAGTACTAGTTTTTAGTCTTTTAAGTTGAATAACGTTAGTCTCAAATAATAATTTTTTGTACCAATCATTATTATTTTAAGGAATTAAACTCAATATGTTAATATTTGTGAATGTTTTGTTGGTATTTAAAATTTCAACGTTAATAAAACCGACAGTGTTACAGATAAATTACTAAAAAATTATTTTATAAAATTAAGAAACCAATATAAAATTTTGCGCAAAATTAAAAGTTTAAACGTATATTTTAGTCTATAATTACAATAGAATTAAGCCATAGATACAAAATGTTGCGGCGATTCAATTACATGCATGACAGCATGTTGTGGCTGCTAGAAGTATTAATCTTTTAGTTAATTCTGGCAAAAAAAAATCTTTTTGTTAATTACACTTTTTAACCATTTTTATGATAATTGATTATAAATAACGTGACTGTTCCAGCAAAAAGTTTTCTATTAGCTCAAAATGAACAATATGTAGAATCAGAACAAGTGTTTGCTGAGATTCACATGAGAACAAACACTTTTAATTTTAAAGAAAAGGTTTGAAAACATGTTTATTCTGAATCAGAGGAAGAGATGCATTGGAGTACCAATGTGCATCATGCACCCGAATTTACATATAGTAATATCCATATATTACCAAAAACAAATCATTTATAGATATTATCAGGAAGGTCATGCAGGTCGGTATAATCTCTTTTTCTCTTAATTCTGTTTTAAATATACAAAATATATGTATTACTATTATACGTCGGGGGGAGAGAGAGATCAAGAAACGGTGATTTTAATTGGTAAAATATGAATCAACCATGCATATACTTATATAATTTTTTGTCACCTTCTTTCTGAATTTAAAAAAAAATTGCAAATTACTGTAAATGTTCAGTTGGTAGGTTTGCACGTGCTCAACAATATTTTCGTCAAGGTGTTTCTAAAAGTACAAAACAAATAAATATAAAGAATTTAATTAAATAATTATTGGTAGGTGCCTGCACGTGCCCAACAACTGATTAAGTATGATAGTTTTTATGCGGTTAGCTTACCACAATAAATAAAATAAACCTACTTCTTTGCGTCCCCCATTGGGCCCTTTCCACCACGTGTTATCAACCATGAATTGAAAACAACCACTCGTTAATGTGAAAAAAAATAGAACAAAAGAAAATAAATTAAATTAAAGCACCAACTTGACACTGAGAGGTGTGTATTTATTAATTCTTGTTTTATTTCGATTTAAATTATTGTAATAAATCACCATCTTCCTTATATGTTACATACCAAATATTGACTCCACAAAAATACGGTCATACTACTAAATATAGACTCCTCTAACGGTATTGGCTTAACGTACACTCTAACAGTATCAACTGCATTGGATCCGATGAAAGAAACTAGTTAGTAGTTGGCGAATTAATATTTGTATTTAGAATTTGACAGTATTTTGAATAGGATTATCTTTTATAGGAGGATTATACATGTTTCTATGATAGAGAGAGACTGATCTAACAAATTTTATTTATTTATTAATTATAAACGTGTTAACAAAGCAATGTAGCTAGAAATACGATCATAAGTGATGAAAAAAATTTAACATACACTACTTAACTCCAAATAGATTTATGAATTAAAGAATTGAATGTGATCCTTGGGTTCTGTAAATTAAGACCCAAAAAAAAAAAAAACAGAAGGAAGGTTATCCATAGATATCTTTCTTCGCTCTCAAACTCACACACATGATTGATAATATGTTTTTTAATATTTAAATTGCTCCAATTACTTAATTGTAGAGTATTTATCGTGTTTCAACACCAGATAACCCCAAGATTATATGTTGTTTGATAATGAGCAATACTACAAGAGTAACAAATTAAACAAAGCTAGCTCAGATCATGACTATTATTAGTATTATTTTGATTTCATCTGATGCGGACCTCTTCCGGGTAAATATTGATGGCATTAATTCTTCTGTCACTCGATTGTTTGTCACATTTTCTTCAAGTGTTCGTCCACACCGTTTGGCCACACACTTTGAATCATAGTTCTGATTTTAATGGGTTATATATATGTGGAGGCAGAGCCAGATGATAGCTCAGCATACCTAAACCACAAAAAACCAAAAAAAGAAAAGAAATAAAAACACACAGAGAGAGAGAGAGAGAGATAATTAAATAGTTAAACAGGATACGTAAAATGGTGTCGCGGTTAAACTAGAGAAATGACAGCACGCAGGCAGAACCAGCTAGCTAGGGCACAAGAGAGGGTTGGCAATTTGGCATGCAGGGTCCACTGTTTATTATTGTTTTCTAAAAATTAGAGCAGCTTGATTGTGTATTTTTTTTTATTAAATTCGAAATGCTGTTTGTTATGACTTATAGTTGCAGTTGTTATTGGCAAAACTTTCAAAACAATTTTATTCGAGGCACTGTTAGGCATTAAATGTTAGTATTTTTTTAGTAGAAATTCTTTAGTCCGTCATGTTTGTGACGAACTAACCATTTCTGCTAAACCCAATCTCATTAGTAATTGTTGCAGTTCTTATTGGCAAAACTTTCAAAACCATTCAGATTCATAGACCCAATCGTTGTAATTCAAACCAAGCGCTTGACGGTGTTTAAACTATATATATATAGCTAGTAGTATTAATTTAGTGCATTGAGTTGACTCATTATATTTTTATTGCGTTGTATTAAAAAAGGTTTTATAGCACAGTGATATTTTTTAATTTAATCCACCCAATCCGCTAATTATATACCATATATCAATCCATCAACTCGTGGGCAATTTTTAGAATATTTAATTTCCCAACGTAAAGAATAAGATTGAGTACGTACAAGGGAGTGTTTAATTAATATACTAGTACGTAGACGACTGGGGTTTGAAAAACCTAATCAAGAGGTTGTATATTATGGTGATAAGGCGGGGAGTATGGAATATACTACCTCAAGTGAATATTATATTAAGAATCCGAGATAATATACTACTCCTCCGGTCCTAATTATAAGACCCAATTGACTTATTTGAGGAGATTAAGGAAGTAAGTTAAGTTGGTTATTTATAATAAATAAGTGTTGTCATTCCTAAAATATCCTTGCTAATTAAGTATATTAGCTAAAACTATCATTATTAGAAGGATTATCTTGGAAAAAAATGCATAAATATAAGAGACAAAATGGATTGGGTCTTATAATTAGGACCAAATAAAAAGTCAAATTGGGTCTTATAATAAGGACCGGAAGAGTATTATTTAGAATAATTTTGTTTCGATGGAGTATAACGTAAGACAAGCGAGAGAGATACAACGAACAGTATTGTAGTGTAATAAATAGAGAAAATAAAGAAAAATTTAAACAGTAAAAAGATTAAATAAAAAATTATTGAGTAAAATAAATTAACCTCTCATCCATGATCTGCCAGTGTCCAAACTTTTGTAGTTATTTGATGATGATCAAATATCGCATGGTTGGGAAGAGATGGCAGGGGCACAGAGCGAGAGAGAGAGAGAGAGAGAGAGAGAGAGAGGGAGGAGGGAGGGAGGGAGGGAGAGGTCAATGAGATTACTACAAGAGGCAAGAATCTCAATGCATGGATTGTTCGTCGTTTAATTTCCACGAACTACAATGAAGGGACTCTTCATTAGCAAAATCACGATAAAAAATTTGTACGACAAGGAAGAGGGAGTGAGAAAAGTCTACGTTCTTCCAACTTCGAGGGTATTTGGATTATTTAGATGGAAGTTAAAATGTGATTTTAAAAATATTTTACAGTATATGAAATAAATATGTAAGAAAAGTTTTCTCGATTTGTATAAAAATATTTTTAATGCTTTTTTTTAATTCCAAACACCCCTAAAAACGTAATTATCACTAATATATTAATATCAACATATATTGTTATAAATTTATAGATGGACTATTGGACTCACTATACACAAAAGTGTGTGATTCATGCTATATAAATTGTGTACCCGATCTAATGCATGAAAAATATGTTTAATTCTTATAATTTATTAAAACAAAATAACTAAATTATTCAGTATTGATATAAATTATTTAAAATAATTATATATTTTTTTGTTTGAAAATAGTATGAGGAGTAAAATCATTGTGTCAAATAAAGTAGGGCCACTTATTTTCATTTCCAAATTTTTATAAGACCCAAGGGAAAAGCAATCTCCCAACTGTGGGAAGCCGCGAGATCTATATATAGTTAGGCGCAAAAAGGAAGAGCGTGCCTCATCGTCTCTGATCTGAAACATCAATAGTGATCATGGAGGCCTGGGTCATCGGCGTCGTCTCTCTCGTTCTCTGTTTTTCCATAAGACCACTTCTCACTCTTCTCTTCCCCTCGCTCAAGAAATCACATCGTCTTCCTCCAGGTCCTCTCCCCATTGTTGGCACCCTCTTGTTTCTTCGCATATCTTTCAATAAACTCGAGCCTCTCCTTCTTCGTCTTCATGCCAAGTACGGTCCCATTATCACCTTCCCCATCGGCTTCTTTCCAGCCATTTTCATCGCCGACAGATCCCTCGCCTACCAAGCCCTTGTTCAGAACGGCGCCGTCTTCAGTGACCGTCCCAAAGCCCTCGCCACCAGCAAGATCATCAACAGTCACCAGCACAACATCAGCTCCTCCGGCTACGGCCCCACCTGGCGTGCCCTCCGCCGTAACCTCACCGCCGAAATCCTCCACCCCGCCCGGATCAAGTCCTTCTACGGTACCCGCCGGTGGGTGGCCGACATGCTCGTCCAAAAGCTGAGGGTTCACTGCGAAACCTCCAACCGCATCAAACTCATGGACCATATTCTGCATGCCATCTTCAGCTTGCTGGCTTTCATGTGTTTCGGTGAGAAGCTGTCCGACAAGCAAATCAGCGAGATCGAACGTGTTCAGCGAACTATACTTTTGAGGTACAACAGGTTCCTGATGCTGAACTTCTGGCCGAAAATGGCAAAGATATTGCTGCGAAAACGATGGGATGAGTTCATGCAACTACGGAACGACCAAGCCGACGTGATGGTTCCTCTGATAAGAGCAAGGAAGCTCGTCAAGGAAGAGAGACTGAGCAAAGCAAAAGAGGACGAGAAAGGAGAAGTGATAGTGGCATATGTGGATACTCTGCTGGATTTAGAGTGGCCTGAGGAGAAGCGAAAGCTTGAAGAAGATGAAATCGTCAATTTGATCTCGGAGTTTCTGAATGCAGGAACAGACACCACAGCCACATCACTGGAATGGATCATGGCCAACTTGGTGAAGTACCCACAGCTCCAGCAACGCCTTTACGACGAAATCAAATCTGTGATGGGAGACTCAAAGGAGAGGATGGTCAATGAAGCTTATTTAGGCAAGCTTCCGTATCTGAAGGCCGTGATCCTGGAGGGCTTGAGGCGACACCCTCCTGGTCGAGTTCTGATCCCGCACTCTGTGACGAAGGACGCGGTTCTGAATGATCACTTGGTGCCCAAGAACGGAACTGTGAATTTCATGGTGGCCCAAATGGGTTGGGATCCGAAGGTGTGGGAGGACCCAATGGAGTTCAAGCCAGAGAGATTCCTGAACAGGGAGAAGAATGAGGTGGAGGCGTTTGATTTCACAGGGACGAAGGAGATAAAGATGATGCCGTTTGGGGCGGGAAGGAGGATGTGCCCAGGCAACAACTTGGCCATACTTCATATGGAATATTTTGTGGCCAACTTGATTTGGAATTTCGAGTGGAAATCCCCAGATGGAGATGTTGATTTGACTGAGAAACAGGAATTCACCATGATGATGAAAACTCCATTGCACGTCTCTCTATCCCCGAGATTTTAGGACTGGGCAGGTCTTCTGCAGATCAGTACGTGTCTCTCGCTCTAGAGGGGAGAAAGAGAAAGAGAGAGAAGTAATTTTAAATTTCAAATTCAAGTTTAAAGCTTTTTTGTTTGATCTGCAGATGATCTTAACTGAGAGATGACCTGCGGGCGGGCGGGCGTTTAGATGTTTAGAGCATTGAAAGTAATTACGTGCACTGAAGGGTACAAATTCTTCTATATGTAAAAACAAATTTATGGCTTGCTAGAGTTATACTCTCTAGCTATTTCTGTCAGCATTGTTTCTTTCTTGTTCATGTTAAGTCTGTGATATGGAATAAAGAGCTATGTTTGTCACTTGCATTTTATTTTATCATTTGCTGCTTTCACTATTTTGATATTTTAATCCCGTAACTTGACATTTTGGTTCACATCAGCACAAGGTGTGTTTGTAGGATAGATAACCATATTTAATACCCCGATGATGTTTCGAACAAAGTTGCTTCCAATTAGAACATACTGTGGTGCCACAATGCTCATTCTGATATCTCCTTCGGCGTTTTTGGCTGTGAGGGAGTAAGAAGAATGAATGCTGAGACCAAAAAGCTTTAATTAGTTATTATTACGCAGAAAGTTAGTCTTACTAGGGAAAATATATATGGCTTTTCAAAATAGCCAATTACTAATAGTTAAGATTCATTTCATCATAATCGACTCATGTTGGCGTACGTGAATAATTACTGTATAGACTTTTTCCAAAATTAGATAGATAAGTACGGACGGTGTGAGATTATAAGCAGAGTCAGATTATAAGCAAAATCAAAGTCACGACCTCCCACCTGTAGAAGAGCATTTATGTCAACTAGGCTAGCTACAGAGCCATTGGTGGATACACTTTCATCGGTTGTCTCTTAAGTAGGTGATTATATTGAAGGGATTCAATGCCAAGGTTCTTAGTAGATGAATTAAATCTGATTCACGAAAGTTTATAAACACAAATACAAGGAAATAAGGAGAAAGCTTTTATATATGGAAGCCATAGAATCATGCAAACTAAGATATTCCACACAATTTTTATTTAACATACTTTCAACCACTTCAGCAGGAGAGGTGGTTAAGTTATTAAATTTGTTTGGAAATGAAAAGAAAAATTATCCATATTTAAAAGGATTAATTAGTATCATCTTTGGTTCATGAAATTTCCCCCACTTTTGTTTTGGTCCCTAAAATTCAAAATCAGTAATTTTGGTTTTTAAAATTTGACCCTGTTTTGATTTTGACTTTTGTTTTAGGAATCAAAAGCAGTGTTCTAAAGACTAAAAATCTTTAGACAAATCAAAATAAAATCAAATTTTAGAAACCAAAACCACTTATTTCAAATTTGAGGGATCAAAACAAAATAAAGTGAATTTTCAGGATAAAAACTACTAGTTTCAAATTTCAAAGAACAAAATTAAATGGAGGTAATAATATTGAAAGTGTACGTTATGTTTAAAATCAATTATTATTCAGCTAAAAAACGAAAAAAAGAAAATGTTCATTACACGTCAACATATTCATACAACACATGTCATTTCAAATAGGACAATACTTTGCTTAAATTACTTGTATCCATTATGTCAATTCCTTCAGTAACACATAGCCATGTGTTATATTTTGAAATACCATCATTAAATTATAAATTCACTTGGAAAAAATAAGACAACACATAATTATACATAATTAAATAACTTGACATAATGAATATAAAGTAAGTATTTTTTTTAATAAAAAATTGGTCGGTCCATGATCTAGGAGCTATGTTGCGACAAAATATAATCAACACGAAAATTAGGACATTTACTATAAATAATATAATTATCTGTTTGTCACACAATTACTCATAAATATGAGACCAAACCCCAAGAGAATATACTGAGAGATAAGGAAAAAGTTTGCTCCAAAAAAGAAAGGAGGAGTTTAAAGAATGATAAGAAAAAAAATTACTAATATAATTACGTTTGCCATTTAATGAAGAGACAAGCATCAAGAGGAGTAGGAGAAACAGCGGCACGGAATGTCTCCGCTGCATATTCTCTCCATTTAATTAAAACACAGCGTTTAGGGTGAAAAACAAAACTGGTCAGGTTTTCTTTTTTCCAATCTGGATGCCGTCTATGAATATACTTCAGCTGCTCGTGTTCCTTCATCAGAACGAGAATCTCCTTGGTTTGCCTCCAAAAAACTTCACAAGTGGCATGTGAGAAGAAATCATAGGAGAAAAGGAGGGTTGTTGGTTTATATTCATCCTTTTTAAGTTTTTGGCTGGTGACTTCTTATAATCTTTTAACCAGAAAAATAATAAAGAAGGGAACCGTTTGGTTTCCCTTCTTTCTATACCCACCTCTGTAGTTCACATTTTGTATCATAAATCAAGTTAAAAAGTGATAAAAGCCCCAGAGCCATTCGATGAAATGATAATAATATATATATTTTAGAGGCCGTCCGTTTGGATAAAAAAATTTGAGAAAATGTCCCGAGAAAGTGCATCAGATCAAACCAAAACGAGGTCTTAGTTAATAATCAAAACGGGAATACACAAAATCAACTATCAAGCTCGACCACCTCAAAAATGAATAAATGGCATGTGGAGATAATCAGAACAAAGATCCTCTATTCCAAGAAGTTGTTTCATCTCATCAGCCTTGGAAGAGAACGAATCTCATCGTATCATGTTTCAAAGAATACTACAGTAGACAAGGATGATGAAGAGCCCGAACATTCAGAAATCTCTATCGGATGAAGAGGACCGTGATGGGTGATAGATGAATGAAGAGGCCACTCTATCATGACTAATTACCAATGGTATGAGGACGGCTAGATGGGTGAAGGAAGAGAACCGTAAGCCACTGTGCCGACGACAATGGGGTTGACGGGTGAGGACTGAGGAGCAACAATGGAGAGAGAGAAAAGATAACGGCGGCTAAAATGAAATGGCAATAAACGGTTCAACGTCATTGCATAACGAGGCGGGCAGGCGGCCCAGATTTTGTTTTTCACCCTAACGCTGCGTTTTAATTAAATGGAGAGAATCTGCAGTGGAGACATTCCGTGCCGGGAGAAACAGCGTTCACGGGGCAGAAGTTTTGGACAGAAATTTTGACGTTGCAATTCCGACAGAATGCTTCCTGTGGGCTCAGAAAGAGAAAATTTTGATTGGTATTTTAAATATTTCATAATATTATATATTTTTAATTCTCAAGATTTCTATAGACCTTTTTTTTTTTCCAATATTTTGTTTGTGCAAGGACTTATATATGTTAAAGATAAATGTTAAAATTTTAAATTGTTATATAGTCCTCCGCATGACTAACAGAAAAATTACCTAGTTAATTTCTATTACTAGGTTGCATTGGTGTTTTCCCAACTGAAATTCTCATGGAATCTCAATAACGCTTGAATATAAATATTAGTACTAGTTTTTTTAACCTGAATATTTCTTATTTATATTTATATCAAAATCAATATCAATATAAGCTTTGACACTTAGATAATAAGCGAAAGTATATATTTAGGCTTTTGAATTTATATTAAGCTTCAATTTAATCTTTTAAGCTGATGAAGTGTATTTTCAATTCCTTAATTCATGTTTACACTGTTAATCTTATTAGCAAAAAAATGCAGAGTCAATAAATTCATGTTTACATTGTTAATATTAAGGAACATAAAATACGTACTTTATAAATTTAAGGGGCTAAACTGAAGTTTAACATAAATTTAAATGGCTACATATATAATTTAGCACTTGATAATTTGTAACTACAAAAAAAGGAAATAGATGAAATTTTTTGGTGTGCAAATATGAAAATGGGAAAATGACCATAAAATACCTTATGAAAATAAAAAAACAAAAAAAAGAACCCAAATAAGTAAAATACCCAAATGGTCATGAGGTATCAATCTGGGATTTTCATATTTTGCTTAAATGACTAAAATGCCTATTAAGTGAGAGAAAAAGCTGCTGAATATGAAAACACTCTGAACAGAGCAAGATATTGAAGCAATGCATAAAAGATGAAAGCAAAAAAGAGGAAGATAACACTGGAAAGAAGAAAGTGTGAGTCATTTACCTTTTGAAATGCTATTATCTTACTCCTCTGACCATCATCATTTTGTAGACATTTTTCATTTGGGAGGGTTTTGCCTGTGATAAGTGGATTTGTAGGAGTAGAAGGAGTGAACGTGTGCATTATGTAAGTGAGTAGAAGTTGATGATGGGGTTTGGGTTCTACATTTTTGTAGCTTCTTCATCGTTAAAGAGGGACAGGTTTGTTGGTGAGGAGGGTTTAGATTGAGTATTTGATGAGGATGAAAGATTGATGTATCAGAAATGAAAAAGTGGTGGTGCAACTTGTTCTTGATCCATTTGTTCAAAATTTTACTAAACAGGTAATGGGATTCATAACTTGTTAGTGAAATTTACCACTCGTTTAATGAGATTTGCAATCTTTTTTTCAAGAAATTTGCAATTTGTTTATTTGGAATTATTTTTGATCTATTTGCCCACAATTTTACTAAACATACAACATTAATAACAACTTGTTAAATGAAAGTGACAGTTCTCGTAATGAGTTTTATAACTTGTTCTTAATCTATTTACACACAAATTTTACTAAATATGTAATGAGATTCATAATTTACGTAGTGAAATGTACTACTTAGTTGATGGGATTTGCAACTTGTTCACTTGGAACCATTTTTAATCCATTTACTTATAATTTTACTAAACATGTAATGTGAATAACAACTTGCGAAATGAAAGTGTCAGTTCTCGTAACGAGTTTTCCAACTTGTTCGTAATCTATTTGCACACAAATTTTATTAAACATGTTAATGGCATTAACAACTTGCGTAGTGAAATTTATTAATTGCTTAATGAGATTTGTGTAACACCTCACATAATTATATCAATATACGGAACAAAATATTTAATTTAAAAGTCCATACATATTTCTAATACTTCAAACAAGTCATAATTTCAAAATATTTCTAACATAATAACAAAATAAACTATTAAAGTCTTATAGTCATGGCAAATAAAAATATAATATAACACGTGCTTGAGGAGCACAAAAGCCTTCACGGCTCACACCATTGGTACCTTCCCTTGATTCCTACTAGATCCTTTGCCCGAAAATTATTAATATAGGGGGTGAGATCAAACGTCTCAGTAACTACTGAAATTCTAACCTATACAAGCAAACCATATATGATAATAAAAAATCTGCTTATATGTCTGTATATATGTGTATATTAAAAATCACGAATTTGATACATTCAATTCAATTTCATTTTTTTAATATGTCCAAAAATAATGCAATATG